ACGACGACGATCATTACTATCTCTTCTCGTTCTCTTCCTCCTCCTCCCCCTTCTCCTCCTCCACGTCCTCAGTATCCTTCTCCTGCTTCTCCGCCTCCTCCTCCCCCTCCCCTTTATCGCTACGCGATCAGGCAGAGACTCCAGAGACTCCTACCCCTCCTCCTCTCCCTTTCCTTTTCCCTTTTATAAATCACGCTTCCCTGTCGCACCCCGCGGCCAGATGCCAAGGTGGGCCAGGCGTTTGAAGAGAGACTTCATCATCTATGACCCTGAAATTGAGAGATTGGCAACAGCTTCACAGATGGAGGGCGGGTCGTTTTGAAAATGTGGCTATCGCCTTAGCGCCGCGCGCATTGGTTTTTTGGTTGAACAAATTGCAAGAGATTCGCGGATTGAGGGCGGGTTCTCGCTTTGGCGCCTCGCACAGCCGTCTAATAAAATTTCAGAGCCTCACGGAATGAGGGCAGCCCGTTTCAACATGTGGTTGTCGCCTTAGCGCCGCGCACACACGCACATTCGTTTTAGATTATTGCAGAAGTTTCGCGAGTTCCCATGATCAACGCACAAGACACGGCGCCTCTGAAGGATTCAGGATTATGAGGCGCAACAACAGTTATGTTGCCTCGCGGTTTTGAAGTCCCAGGAATGGCGCTTTGGCACGGTTCATGATCGTCAAAATGCAACAGTCCGTCTGATTCGCGGTGTTGGAATCCCGGGAACAATGTCTCGGCAGGCTTCATGGTGTTCGAACGGATGTTTTCCAACGAGGCAGTTCTTTCAGTGGAATGAACCGTTGTAGGAGCCTTTTGAAGAGGGAGTTTGCATGGGGGGTGTGCTAACATCGTTGACGACCCTTGGGTTTACACTGGTCCTCCTCCTCCTCTTTTTCCTTCTTCTCTTCTTCCCCCTGTTAAATGCCGTGTTGCGCTCAGGGAGTGCTGCAACAGCATGCTTTAGAAACGGCCAAATGTTGTTGCGAGCCAGGTTGTTCGCTTCTTGAGATCCGCCCCGAGGGGGGCATCATATAGTTGCTCTCTAGTGGGGCACATCACCACGGTTTCCTTTTGGCAGTTCTTGGCGCCATGAGCGATTTCAGTTGGGACCGCATGGGGAAGGCACCGTGGCAGACAAGACCGCGCCGTTGGGGGTCCTACACGAGACCTCCAGTTCAGGACCGCGGGCAGAATGAGTCCCACGATTGGCACGCGAGAGATGGGTGGTACACCGTGTCCAGCTCCAGAGGCCAGATTCTTTGTCACCGCTGCAGCTGCCGAAATAATCCCAGAGGAGATCTGCGCTGCAAGCAGTGTGGTGCTAGCTTGAGATCAACTCCGCAGGAGTCTACTGACAGAAGCACGGTGCCCAGCCAGGTTACCAGCGACACCAATGGTGGCAACGGTGGGCGCAAGGGTGATGGCAAAGCGAGTGGAGGCAAAGGGCCCACATGAGGTAAGCCAAACGATCCCGATTCACGGTTTGGCCCGATCCCTGCCATGGCCTTTGAAAAGGCCCAGGCGTTGCAGCGCCTTGCGCAGGAAGCGGGCGACGGGGACGGTGCAAAGAGGCATGGCGCATAGGCAGTTCGGCAGTCCCCAAGGCCACCTGAGCCAACAGCGCGACAGCGTCTCAACCAGGCTGAACTTAAGCAGGAGCATTTCGAACAAAAAACTCAAGCAATCGTTTCCTTGCTCATTGTTTTGCCAATCGGCGCGGGCCCTCGCACCCCCCCCCCCGGGGAGTAGATCTTGGCTGTTTGTGGCGCCTCTGTGAGGCAGGGGGAGTCTCCCCCATAGGACACACTATTGCAAACAGTCGCAGTAAGCAGAGGTCCGGAGCAAGACCCTTCCCCCCTCCCTTCCGCCCAATGTCGAAACGCCGAGTAAGAAAACGTATACCAACGCAGAGTAAGAGAAGCTCGGCAAATGGAGAGAAGCAGTGAGTGGCCCAGCTTACTACTACAATCGAGCACACCGAAAAGGGCATCCAGGAATCAGACAGGGAAGTCTGAGAGGCGCTTTGAGCTATGCAGCAGCAACAAAGAGTGTGCGATGGCTCTACCAAAGCTACGCCGCATATCAGTCTGCGACGGTTGGCGGAAGGTCAGGCAGACTTGGCTGCTACTCCTACTTGTGCAGATTTCATGGATGTCGAAGCCGCCAAACCAAACAGAGCTACGACGTGGACGAGACAGATGTTCAAGAGTTGGAGCAACGCAAAGCTGAGGCAGCCAAGCAAATTCAGGAAGTGTTCAAAATCTTGTCCAACAGCTGGATCGCACGGCGGCGAAATAGAGGAGAATCGACGGATAACCTAAAGGAGACAAGGAGGCAAAGGAAGCTTTTTCCACGCAGGCTGCGGCAGCACCAGCGGCTCGGCCTTAGTCTGACATACGTTCCCGCGTGGCAGCAGACGAGTCAACCCAAGCAGCATCGCAATCTCTTTAGCATCTACAAGGCAACATGGTCAGCTCGCAGCCCCTTCTCAGATGCAGGCTATGTACATGGTGAAGTTCGGTTTGACAAAGTCTGGCATCGCGAAGCTTGTGTCGGAGGCCTCCCTCCTCCCTCCCCCCTTGCGCCACTCCCTCCCTCCCTTCTCCGTGTCCCCCTCCCCTCCCCCCTCCCTTCCCCCCCCTCCCCCTTGCCCACTCCGCCCTCCCTCGCCCTCCCCTCACCCGCCCCTTGCCTTGCCGGCGGTGTCGACGCCGTCTGCCGCGGCGCCCCCCGCGCGCGGCCGCCTCGCCCCGCCGAGAGGGGGAGCGTACCGCGTCAGCGGGCAGAAGAAGTGGATCACGGGCGGCCACGTGGCCGACTTCCTGACCCTGGCGGTGCGCACCGGCGCGGGGAGCAAGGCCCCTGGGCGCCCTCCGCTCGGGGGCAGCGGGGAGGGGGGATGCATCGACCGCGGCACAGGATTGGATATGGGGGGGGGGCACGGCACAGCATAGTTGGGGGGGGGCACGAGCGGCCACGTGGCCGGTGCCCTGGCCCTGGAGGTGCCCCGGGCGTCGAGTTTCTGGGCAGGTGCGATACACACGGGGGGGTGAGGAGGGGTGCACCTCGTGTGCCCTCAGGGCCCCCCTGAGGCCCGAAAGCGGGCACGAAGGGTGCACGTTTCCCTCCCCCCCCCGCACCTTCATTTATCGCCCCCAATAGCTAACGCCCTAGGTGAGCACGGGCGCCGGGAGCGAGGCTTGGGCGCCCTCCGCTGAGGGACCACGATAGGAGGGCATCGGCCTGGGTCGGGCATGTCCTTCTACAGAAGAAGTATTCAAACATGGTAAAAAATAGTCGGGGGACGATCGTTCTTCTACTTTCGGCTGTGTTTGGATCTTTGGGGGCTATTCTTTGTTTTCCCTCCGGGACCCGCCCGTAGGAGGACGTGCCCGACCCGAGCAGAGGCTCAACGGGGCCGGGGGGGGAGGCATGGACCCCGAGTCGCGCCTGGATCGCCGAGGGGGGTCGGAGGGCCCCGTCCCCGCCCAGGAGCGCGCGGAGGCGCCGTCGGGGGCCTGTCGCCCGCCGCTCTGCGGCGTCAGGCGATCGCAGGCATGCAGGCAGTGGCGAGGCGTCCCGGCTCGCCTGTAGGCCTACGAGACCCCTGATGGTCCGCTACCGAAAATTTCCGGTAGCGCTCCGCAGAGATCGGTCGCTACCGAAATACCGAAATGTAGCGCCCAATACCGGTATCAGACCGTTCTGAAATCCGCTATTTCAACGCCCTCAAACGAAGATCCGGTCGCTACCGAAATTCGGGGTGCGTCGAAATCGCTACCGAAAATTTCCGGTACCAGACCATCTGGGACGTGAAAACGACCACAGCCACTGCTTCTCTTCTGTTGCCGCCTTCCAGCCAGCAGAAACAAAGCAGTGGTTGTGGTCATTTTCGTTAAGCTCGGCACCAGGGAGATGACCACAACCACTGCATTTTTTCGGCCGGCTGGAAGGCGGCGGAAACAAGAAGCAGTGGTTGTGGTAATTTTCCCGTCCCGCAAGGTCTACCAAGCAATGTTCTAAGAACCTTTTGTGGCTTCCACGAAGTTGTCCTCAGGACATTCCTGGCTGGGACTCCTTTGCTTTCACACAAGGGGCTTACGTTCTAAGAACAGTGTTTTGGTTCTTAGAACATTTTTGGGTTCGAAGCACATCTCGTGGTGGGCCTAGAGGAATGCCAGGACTGTCGGTCCCTGCTCAGAAGATGGATCAAGTGGGCGTGGATTAGCGACGGGTCCCGATCCCACGGGACATCGCGGGTTTCCGCCGTCGAACGAGGCGGCACCGGCAGCATTTGGGGAGGGCGCCTCCCCCGATCCATGAATGTGGCGACCGCGCGCCAAATCCACGGATCGCGAATGCATGTTTGCGCGCCCCCGATGGTGGGCGGGCGACGCATCGCCGAGTCCAGGTCGACGTGCCCCCCCGGAGTATGCTTCCCGTCCCCCCTACCAATCGGCCGTCGAGAGTAGGTATTTTTGGATTCCCAGATTCCTAGCTACTTTCAGCGCCTTCCTACTTCAAGCAAGTATCGGGTGGCTGCTCCTCTTCCGTCCTCCTCAGGGGGCGGGCGGAGACCCAATCCACTTTCAACTCCTTCCTACGTCATGTTTCCAGCTACTTCTTCCGACCGATGGGTATCATTGCTCCTCAGCCCTGCGCCGCCGCAGAGTTACTCCTCGGCAGTGTTCGGGCGTTCTCAGAAAGGGTTCTCGCCGGCCGCCTTCCCTGGCGCCGTCTGTCCGTTTGGGGGGCCGTCTCTGGAGGCTTCTCGTCGCCACGGCTGGATCCGTCTCGAATGAACTTGGCCAGGATGGTCCCTCGGAGGGATCTGGGGACCGATTTTCAGCGGATTTGGTCCTCCGGGGGGGTGTCGAGAATTTTTTTGGGAGTGTTGGAGAAGTTTCCGAGGCCTGGGCTGGTTCCCATCGGCTGCGCCTCGGCTGGGAGCGTTCCGGCAGCGCCGGAATCGTCCCGAACCGCCGCCGGGTGCCCGAGACATGGTCCGAAGGTGCGAGGAGGGGAAACTTCACACAGACCTAATCAAGTGTCGGCTCCCAGTAAAACATGGAAAATACGAGGAACCTTTGTATTTGTGTCTATTTATTTGCGTGCCCCTGGTTCCCTTTACAGTGAGGAAGCGCAAGGTCAGGGGCAACGCTTGGGGAGCGGTGAACTCAATGGAAGGCGCAGCGACCCCGATCGCCCATACATCACCGATGCAGCTGGTACGATGGTCAAGAACAATCCTGGGTTTGGGGGGTACCCTGATGTTCTTCGCCTTTGGGCTCTCCACCATGTAATGCGATTCGTTTGGGATACCTCCATCGGGCCCTGGGGTCTCGGCGAAGGGGCCCATGCTCTTGATCCACGTTCTTGTGACCTTGCCTCGACTGTAGGGGCCCGATGGCCCAACCACGCCCAGGAGCGTGCAGATTCGCTATCGGGGGCCTCTCGGCGATGTCTCGCCGATTCGAGCCCGATGCCTCCCTAAGCTGGTCCCCCCTTGTCGTTCCCCCCTTGAGGAGGATGAGCAGCAGCAGCAACGCCAACGCCGCTAGGGCTGCTTCAACTATAAACTTAACTACATCGTACCTCCCTCCCAGGTGAAACGAAGACACTGGCGCAGGAGAGAGGGGAGCAGAGGACGAGGCAGCGGAGGACGGCCCCGTGGCAGGACAGCCTGCCGATTCCGCAGTCGCATCTCTGCCGTCGGCATCGACGCCGTTGCGCTGTTGAAAGCGTATAGTCTAGACGCTGAAATCAGAACCACTTTGAGTTCGCAAGGGGCAAGCTGCTCCTTCGTTCATTCCGTAATTGTTCCTCTCGCCCTCCTCGTCCACCCAGGTTCTCATGGTGCCAAAAAGCAGCGTTATTCCCTGTGTAGATGTTCCTTGCTGCAGCAGCTTGACTATATGAGGCAGTGGAGGACGGTCCCGCTGCAGGACACCCTGCCGACTCCGCAGTCAGGTCTCCGACGTCGGCATTGATGCCGTTGCGTTGATGGGGTCAGATTAGGCCTACTGTAGGTTCGCGTCGCGTCGACCAGCGGCTGCCCCGCCGCTGGCATTCAACGTTGAGTGCCGCCAGCGACCCAGAACCGGTCGATATTGAGCGATCTGACGTTTCGGAAACGGCCGACCGTTCCAGGTTGCACGACCCCCGCGGTGTCCGGATCAAATGCTGCGGTCGTCACGACACGGATTTGCGGCAGTTGCAGGAGCGGGCTAACCTCGGGGGCGAGCCCGGGGGTAAGTGAGAGGGGGGCGGGCCTTCTCAGGCTCGGAGGTCCCCCGGCCTTCGGAGAAGCTCTCTGAGCCTGCTTCGAAGACGCAGGAAGCCTCGCAGAGGGCGCGAGGGCTTCTGAGAAGTCCCGCCGCCTTCTGCGAAGGCCTCCTCCTCGCTTCCCTCCCCCTCGCTCGCCGCCGGAAGCCACACGGCAGACCGACGGCGGGAGCCCGGCCGATGCCAGGAGCGGGGGCCCCGAGAGGCGGGCTTAAGCGCGATCCCTCGGGCGGGGCCCCGGCGACCCTGCCCGCTCCCCCCCAAGGGAGGGAGGAGGGGGGAGGAGGAGGGGAGGAGGAGGAGGAGGAGGAGGAGGAGGAGGAGGAGGAGGAGGAGGGAGGAGGAGGAGGAGGGAGGAGGGAGGAGGAGGAGGAGGAGGAGGAGGGGGAGGAGGAGGGAGGAGGAGGAGGAGGAGGAGGAGGAGGAGGAGGGAGGAGGGAGGAGGGAGGAGGGAGGAGGGAGGAGGGAGCCCCTTGGGCGCCGCGCCGGCGGCCGCCGTCCCCGGGGGAGGGGATCTCCCTGCTCCTGGCGGACACCAGTGCCCCAGGGATCGAGATCAGGACGGGCTTCTCGCGGGGGGCGAGGAGGGGGCGAGGGAGCCTGGGAGGGGGGGGGGGCGAGGGAGCTGCGCGAGGAAGAGGGCGAGGGCAGGAGCGGGGCGAGGGGGTGGGGAGGAGGATGGGGTGCGGGGAGAGGGAGGAGGAAGGAGGAACAGGATGGACGGATGGATGGAGGAGCAGGGGCGAGGAGGAGGAGGAGGCGGAGGAGGCGGAGGAGGAGGAGGAGGAGGAGGAGGAGGAGGGGGCGAGTTTTCCAACCCCGATGTTCGGAGTTCTGGGCCTACCCAGAGGGGCAGGGAGACGGAGGAGCAGGGCGGGGGGGTTGGAGCGAGGAGCAGGCGAGGAGCAGGTGCATGAGGAGGAGGAGCAAGAGCGTAGAGGCGACGAGGATGCGGGGGGTAGAGAGCGGAGGTTGTAAGGGGAAGACGCGGTGGAGTAGAAGGAGGAAGAAGAGGAGAAGGAGGAGGAGCGTGAAGACACGGAGGAGGAGGAGGTCAAGGTCAAGGTCATCCGCATGAGAGGGGGTCAACGCCAACACCTACAAAGGAATTGCGCGTGCGACTAGCAAAATCCCCCGCATGAGTAGTATGCAGCTAGGACCCGACAGCCCTTCGACATCGTATCGAAGTCCCTGCCAGGGCCTGCGCAGGGGCGGTCACGCGGCCTTCCCTCCACTCCCTCCCCCCTCCCCACGCCTCCACCACAGGCTAGCGTGCGGCCCGTTCACATGGAGTCCTGTGTCACCAGTCAGTAGATCTCCGATGAAACCAAGGGGTGCGGCACCGCTGGCACTGTGCTGCCAATGGCCGTACGAGCGCGGGCCTGCACAAAGAGGAGGGTTTCCTGAACCCCACTCGCGAGCCATATTCCTTTCTGTATCCTGCGGAGAAGAGGACCGAAGACGAGAGACCAAGAGACGAGAGGGGGAACACTGGGCGAGAAGGCCTGCACCCCGAGATGCCCTCGCTAGTGCGTGCGGCTCTCCCTTCGAGGCAAATTCAGTATTCTCCTCCGCGCATGTGCTTTCCCATTCTGAAAGGGCGGAATTATCACGGGGCAGCCGTTGTGTACGTGTCCCCCATGCTGGCAAGAATTCCAATACTTTCCCAGTCCGAAAGGGCGAATTCCACGAGCGAATTCCACCTCTGGCAGAGTGCGAACTGTGCCGTTAGAAGCCAATCGGTGCCGTAATTCATCTGCAGAAATGGTGGCCAATGTTGTTCCACATGATGGCATAGATGTCGTCCAAAGTTCGTCCGCTGCGCGTCGGTATCCGCTCTTCGATGACAGACCCTTCAACTCTTGTGTCTTTGATCACTAAGGGGTCAGAGGGAGCCCCCGTTGGGAAATGTTGCGGGTCCCTTTGCCTCAGTTTCTGACTCCTTCTCCACCTCTTCCACAACCGCACAATCCCTGTGTGAATCAACAATCCCGGCACTTCAACAACATATCCAGTGGGCATTCCTTTTTCCGTGCACAGTGTCTGCAAAATGCCCTTTGTGTTTTTTTCGTGGGTCGTTGTAGAACTTAAGAATCCCAGAAGCGTTGCGATCTCTGGGTCATCATTAGGGAGCATGGGTTTTCGCAGTCCGCCATCGGCACCAGTCGGTGGCCTCTGAACCTCGGGGCCTCAATCTTCCCAGACCTCCTTCGCTCTCCTGCGAACAAACGAGGCGACTTCCAGCAACAACATTTCCAGATAATCGGGTTGGTCTCCATCTTTCCAGACCTCCTTCTCGTCCGTCTCACCGCTGGAGTCCATGGGTTTCCGAGGTCCATCATCGGCAGAAGCCGCTGGCCTCCGAACCTCGCGGCCTCCATCTTCCCTCTTTGTTGCTTGCTTTCGTCTGTGCCGTGGCCACGAGGCTGTCTCTGCTCTTCTGGCGCTGCAGTGCTTCGATGCGGCGCCTCGGGGGGCGACTCGAGTGCAGCGGCCCCCTTGAGGGGGGAGCAGGTGGCTACGGTTGTCCAGCCTTGCCTCCAGCTTTGCTCGGCGGCGGACAAGCGAATGCGAAGCAGGGCCAATCGGATTCCACTGGCGGAACTGATCTTCGATCTCCTGCGATAACGTTTCCAATCTGGAAGATCCGCAAGTCGTTGAGACGGGCTGCACCTGGGCCCGTGCGGGCGCAGGCGCTGAGGGGAGCCGAGGCCGCTCTGCAAACTCCCCCGGCAGCTCTTTCCCCTGGGCCCCACAGGACGCAGGACGGGGTGGGGAGCCGAGCAAGCTCTACAAATTCACCCGCTGCCGCATGCCCTCTCCTTTTTCGTCTACCTTGCTGTAGTTCGCCTCGATGTCCGTTCCCTGGACTTGAGCACCCATCTGTTCACAGATTGCAATCCTGGCATGCTGGCATTTCCGCGCGTGGGTGCGGCGGATCCGTTCTCTGCGTCCTTGCTCGTCTTTTTTTCCAGGTCACATTCCAATCTGCCAAAGATTGGAAAGATGCGGCACAAGAGAAATCCACCTTTGATTCCCGACCCAGACACTGGGAAAGGTCGCAAAGAGGTACGGTTTCGAAAGTGCTGCAGAGATTGTTATGTTTGTTTTTCTCCTTCTTCCCCTGGCCCCGGCAGATCAACCTTTGTGGCTGTCAGAGTCCGTAAGTCGTGTGAGTGAGTTTCTGTGAAAACTTCCCCCTGTCGGGGCTCCAAGTGCATGTACCTCCAGCGCCGACTAGGAGGAGGAGGAGGAGGAGGAGGAGGAGGAAGAGGAGGGAGGAGGAGGAGGAGGACAGGGAGGACAGGGAGGGCAGGGCAGAAGATGCGGGGGGGAGGGGGCGGAGGTGGTAATTAGGGGAAGACGCGGAGGAGGAGGAGGAGGAGGAAGAGGAGGAGAAGGAGGAGAAGGAGGAGGAGGAGGAGCATATGAGGAGGAGGAGGAGGAGGACAGGGAAGGCGGAGGATGCTGGGGGAGAGGGCGGAGGATGCGGGGGAGAGGGGGCGGAGGTGGTGGCGGGAAGGCGCTCGCCTCCCTCTCTCCTTGCCTTGCCGTCGCTGCTCCTTAAGCTGATATCCACATGTCACCACCCAGCGACACCAGTCGCCCCGCTTCGCAGGCGATTTCTCTCCCCCAATCCCCGACTTCCGCCAGAAAAGTTTGGTCGCTCAGAAAAGGGGAGGAATCTTGGGATACATCCCGAGGGGGCTATTCGGACGCACTGTCGAGGATGGACGCCCCCCCCTCGTATATCCCAGGGTTGGGCCCCAAATTGTTGATCCTCTCGAAAACCTCACGGAGCCTGGGATAGGGGTCGACGCATCCCCTGTTACCGCTCTCGGACGTGGCTAGGACGAGGATAGATCCTGTCCGGAGCGTTGTGGAACGCTCTCACGGCGTTCCGGAACGCTCTGATGAGGCCGCGGCGCCCGATGCATCCCCCCGAGCCGACAGATCTCAGAGAGTCTCGATTCAACTTCAGCCGCCTCTTCCTGGCCTGGCCCCGCTCAATGGTCTGAGCAACCCCCCCTCTAGGCCGACCAGTCCTGGGGAGGGGTGGCTACGTCGGACGACTCTGTAACCTTCAGTGTCTCAGGGCCTCAATGGGGGATGAGGAGGAGGAGGAGGAGGAAGAAGACGAGGAATAATACTAATAAGACGAATAATACGACTACTAACAAGACTAATCATAACCAAAAGAAGAAGACGAATAAGAGTAATGATAATAATAATAATAATGCGAAGAAGAAATAGAAGGAGAAACAGAAGAAGAAGAAGAGGAGAAGGAGGAGGAGGAGGAGGAGGAAGGAGGACTGGAGAGAGTAGTCGGGAGAGGAAGGGGAGCGGAGGGAGGGTGAGTGGGGGAGGGATGATGGCGGACGACGAGTGTCGAAGGTCGGCGAGGAGGGACCGTGTGATCAGTGACAGCCAGACGTGCGGAATGCGTCAGGAGCTCGAGGGACGGCGATGGATGAGGGCGAAAGACGATGTAAAGGTGGGGCGGGGCAACAGAAAAGAGATTTGATTCATAATCTGAGCCCTTTCCTCGTCTGCCTTCTGCTCTCTACTCTGCCTCCCTGTCCTCATTTGTCCCGCCCTCTGGCTATTAGTTTCCCTCTGCCTGCTATTCCTCTCTTTCTCTCTCTCTCTCTCTCTATATATATATATATATAGATTCCCCTCTTCCCTTCGTGGTACCGTCCTGGTCCGACACTGACTTGGAACCCCAGGGGGTCGCAGGATACGTCAGCACGTGCGAATGAGAGACCCTGTCAAGACCGAGGGGGCTGTTACATGAAGACATCCAGACCCTATGATACCGTGCCTGGCTGGACATCCCCCATCTAGCTTCCATAGCTCGTCCTTACCGATCTTCCGATCGAGCTCGTCCGCGTCTGTTTGTCCATCATTATTGTTGCGTCCTCCCGCTCTTCCTTCATCGTCGTTATTATCCTCGTCCTGACGTTGCCGTTCCGACGTGCCCAAAGGAAAATGGAGACCCAGTTTGACACTTGCCACGGGACAACGTTCATTACATTGGACAACGTGCTGATACCAGAGGAGAACCTCATCGGAAAGGAGGGCGCAGGAATTTCCAGCGGGGCAGGGCCAGAATTGGGAATGGTGGGGGGGGAGAGGATGCGGAGGACAGGGTGGTGGTGGTCACTGCATAAGGGAAACAGAATCCCGAGCAGAGCAACACGCACCACGACCACGACGACGCCGACGACGACGACGGAGACGAGGCGCGCTTACGATCCGCACCGAAGCACGGATTTGGGAAAGGGCCCACCCTGCAGGTTCGGTTAAACAGCGCATCGTTGAGCGGTGCTGCAGCCTCCCCTGAGCACAGGCCCCTCCAGAGCATCAGCCAGACAAGTCGGGTTTGCACCCTCATGCCTTGCTGGACTCTGGGCGCGTTTCGGCACCCTCTCCCCCAACCTCGTCAGGGCCACCGACAAGGGAGAGGGCGGCGATGGCCGACGCGTCCCCGAGCTAAGAAGCTCAAAGCGCCGCGGCTCAGAGAGCCGGGAAGGCAGACAGACAGACGGACGGACGGACAGCCAGGCGGCGCGCAATGCCTGGCAAGCCAAGTGGGTGGTCACTGCATAAGGGAAACAGAATCCCAAGCAGAGCAACACGCACCACGACCACGACGACGCCGACGACGACGACGACGACGGAGACGAGGCGCGCTTACGATCCGCACCGAAGCACGGATTTGGGAGAGAGCCCACCCTGCAGGTCCGGTTAAACAGCACATCGTTGAGCGGTGCTGCAGCCTCCCTTGAGCACAGGCCCCCCCGGAAAATCAGCCAGGCAAGTCGGGTTTGCACCCTCATGCCTTGCTGGACTCTGGGCGTTTCGGCACCCTCTTCCCCAACCTCGTCAGGGCCACCGACAAGGGAGAGGGCGGCGGTGGCCGACGCGTCCCCGAGCAAAGAAGCTCAAAGCGTCGCGGCTCAGAGAGCCGGGAAGACAGACAGACGGACGGACGGACGGACAGCCAGGCGGCGCGCAACGCCTGGCAAGCCAAGTGGGTGGTCACTGCATAAGGGAAACAGAATCCCGAGCAGAGCAACACGCACCACGACCACGACGACGCCGACGACGACGACGACGGAGACGAGGCGCGCTTACGATCCGCAGCGAAGCACGGATTTTGGAAAAGGCCCACCCTGCAGGTTCGGTTAAACAGCACATCGTTGAGCGGTGCTGCAGCCTCCCCTGAACACAGGCCCCCCCGGAGCATCAGCCAGACAAGTCGGGTTTGCACCCTCATGCCTTGCTGGCTTCTGGGCGCGTTTCGGCACCCTCCCCCCCAACCTCGTCAGGGCCACCGACAAGGGAGAGGGCGGCGGTGGCCGACGCGTCCCCGAGCTAAGAAGCTCAAAGCGCCGCGGCTCAGAGAGCCGGGAAGACAGACAGACAGACGGACGGACGGACAGCCAGGCGGCGCGCAATGCCTGGCAAGCCAAGTGGGTGGTCACTGCATAAGGGAAACAGAATCCCGAGCAGAGCAACACGCACCACGACCACGACGACGCCGACGACGACGACGACGGAGACGAGGCGCGCTTACGATCCGCACCGAAGCACGGATTTGTGAAAAGGGCCCGCCCTGCAGGTTCGGTTAAACAGCGCATTGTTGAGCGGTGCTGCAGCCTCCCTTGAACACAGGCCCCCCCAGAGCATCAGCCAGACAAGTCAAGTTTGCACCCTCATGCCTTGCTGGACTCTGGGCGCGTTTCGGCACCCTCTCCCCCAACCTCGCCAGGGCCACCGACAAGGGAGAGGGCGGCGGTGGCCGACGCGTCCCCGAGCTAAGAAGCTCAAAGCGCCGCGGCTCAGAGAGCCGGGAAAACAGACGGACGGACGGACAGCCAGGCGGCGCGCAATGCCTGGCAAGCCAAGTGGGTGGTCACTGCATAAGGGAAACAGAATCCCGAGCAGAGCAACACGCACCACGACCACGACGACGCCGACGACGACGACGACGGAGACGAGGCGCGCTTACGATCCGCACCGAAGCACGGATTTGGGAAAGGGCCCACCCTGCAGGTTCGGTTAAACAGCACATCGTTGAGCGGTGCTGCAGCCTCCCCTGAACACAGGCCCCCCCAGAGCATCAGCCAGACAAGTCAAGTTTGCACCCTCATGCCTTGCTGGACTCTGGGCGCGTTTCGGCACCCTCTCCCCCGACCTCGTCAGGGCCACCGACAAGGGAGAGGGCGGCGGTGGCCGACGCGTCCCCGAGCTAAGAAGCTCAAAGCGCCGCGGCTCAGAGAGCCGGGAAGACAGACAGACAGACGGACGGACGGACAGCCAGGCGGCGCGCAACGCCTTGCAAGCCAAGTGGGTGGTCACTGCATAAGGGAAACAGAATCCCGAGCAGAGCAACACGCACCACGACCACGACGACGCCGACGACGACGACGACGGAGACGAGGCGCGCTTACGATCCGCACCGAAGCACGGATTTGGGAAAGGGCCCACCCTGCAGGTTCGGTTAAACAGCACATCGTTGAGCGGTGCTGCAGCCTCCCCTGAGCACAGGCCCCCCCAGAGCATCAGCCAGACAAGTCGGGTTTGCACCCTCATGCCTTGCTGGACTCTGGGCGCGTTTCGGCACCCTCTCCCCCAACCTCGTCAGGGCCACCGACAAGGGAGAGGGCGGCGGTGGCCGACGCGTCCCCGAGCTAAGAAGCTCAAAGCGCCGCGGCTCAGAGAGCCGGGAAGACAGACAGACAGACGGACGGACGGACAGCCAGGCGGCGCGCAATGCCTGGCAAGCCAAGTGGGTGGTCACTGCATAAGGGAAACAGAATCCCGAGCAGAGCAACACGCACCACGACCACGACGACGCCGACGACGACGACGACGACGGAGACGAGGCGCGCTTACGATCCGCAGCGAAGCACGAATTTGGGAAAGGGCCCACCCTGCAGGTTCGGTTAAGCAGCACATCGTTGAGCGGTGCTGCAGCCTCCCCTGAGCACAGGCCCCCCCAGAGCATCAGCCAGACAACTCCGGTTTGCACCCTCATGCCTTGCTGGACTCTGGGCGCGTTTCGGCACCCTCTCCCCCAACCTCGCCAGGGCCACCGACAAGGGAGAGGGCGGCGGTGGCCGACGCGTCCCCGAGCTAAGAAGCTCAAAGCGCCGCGGCTCAGAGAGCCGGGAAGACAGACAGACGGACGGACGGACGGACAGCCAGGCGGCGCGCAATGCCTGGCAATCCAAGTGGGTGGTCATTTCATAAGGGAAACAGAATCCCGAGCTGAGCAACACGCACCACGACCACGACGACGCCGCCGACGACGACGACGGAGACGAGGCGCGCTTACGATCCGCACCGAAGCACGGATTTGGGAAAGGGCCCACCCTGCAGGTTCGGTTAAACAGGGAGAAGGAAGAGGAGGAGGAGGAAGAACAGGAGGAGGAGGACAAGGAGGAGGGCATGGAGGAGGAAGAGCAGGAGGAGGACAGGGAGGAGGAAGAACAGGAGTAGGAGGAGGCTCGGAGGAGGACGGGCAAGCACTGACGCCATCAGACCGCAGTCCCCAGGAGAACGGGAAGAGGGGGTGGAGAAGGAGTTAGCGAGAACGATGCGGTGGAGAGGGAGCTGGGGAGGGAAAGTGAGAGAGAGAGAGAGGGAGACCGGGAGGCAGAGATAATGATGGTGCGAGAGAGGGAGAGAAAGAGAGAGAGCGAGAGCGAAACACAAAAAAAAACATGTGACACGCAGCCAACGTTTTCCGCCGCAGTGCGGCAGAGGCAATCCTCGCGCGCGCTCCTGTGGGCCAGGCGATGGCAGGCACTAGTTGCCCAGCGGCAAGAGGGGGGGACAAAGGCGGAGAGCGCGGCCGCGGAGGGGGGCAGAGGAGGGAGGACACTCACAGCGCGAGGGTATTCTTAAGCCGGGCCTGTCCCTCTACAGGGGGAATATTCAAAAGTAACCACACACACAAAATGGGGACGACTTTGTTCCATTGTTTTTGTATGTTTAAGGGTTTTTTCCCACATTTCTAATTTTTCCCAAAAATCAGCCTGTAGGGGAACAGGCCCGACCTAAGGGCATTCGACTGGAGTGGTCGGGCGGCCAATCTGTGCTGACGCTGCCTGGCAGCGGACGCTGGCCAGCATCGTGGCCACACCCAGGGGCTATGGCGCAGGCTGCAGTTCAGGAGCGAAAGAAGGACGTACACGTACATGAATCCACGCTGGTTTCGAGAGTACGGACTGCCCGAATGTTCGTGTCACGCGGCCAGTCTCGCGGACCGATGGAGCCGTTTAATTGTACATAGGTGGGCGCGTACGTCCTTTGTGGGGTCCCTGGCAGTATGCGAAAGAGGACCAACTCGCACCAGCAACTGCAAGAGGAGGAGGAGGAGGAGGAGGAGGAGGAGGAGCGGTGAGCGAGCCCACACAGGCGGCATCCAAGTGTGCCGCGACGGCCGAGCAGGCTCTGCTGCTTGGGCGGGCTGGCGGATGCGGGAAGGCCCATGCTTCAAGGGGGGGGGCAGGAACGCGATAGCTCGCGGCAGCAGCATGCTGCAAGAGCCCCGCCGAGCTGCTGAGAAGCGGGCAGTGAGGCTGCTGCGCTGCCAGGGAGAGCGCAACGTGTGCCAGAGACTGCACCAGAGATTGTTGAGCTGCCGATGCCACCAGCCGGTGCGACGCAACACCAGGCCCAGCAGCAAGGCCAGGTGGCGCCCGGCGGGGGCGCGGAGATGGGGCGGCTGATCGAAGAAGACAAAACCACATAAACATAATTGTTTGGCGTTCCGCGCGGACTTCTTGGATCTGCGCTAGGGCCCGCTGGAGGCGCCTCCGGCGCCGCCCCTGGCGCGCTCCGCGCGCCAGGGAGGGGGGTCCAGCGCGGATCCAAGGAAACCGCGCGCAGCGCCGACAATTTATGTTTATGTGGTTTTGTGTTTGTTCTACCGGCGGGGGCGCAGAGAGCTGGCGGGGGCAGCCACCAGGGCCACACGGCAGGGCTGCTGGCAGAGGCACCCACGAGGCGACCAGCGCCGGTTGCTTCGGGGGGCGGGCCAGCTGCGGGAGAGAGCGCGCTGGCGGCGCGGCGCGGTGCTGCGAATCGCGCGGGGGGGGGGGGGCAGCGAAGGCGCGAGCGGGAAAGAGTCAAGCAGCTGCGAAGCGCCCCGGTTTGCTCATGTCAAGGGACATAAAAACATAGACACAAGTACTCGTCGATTTCCAAGGAAATCTCAGAAAAAAATGGACAGCCGTGGGGGAGACGAAAACCCAGATGCACACACATATGTATAGTCGTAGACGTGAATACCCCAACAGGCCCCTCCTCGCCCGTGCTTGTAAATGCTGACCCCCCGCAACTGCGGTGGCTCAAAGTCTGAGAGGCCCCCAGCCGCGGCGGCCCCTGCATGGACGGAGGGGCGCCTCCGCTGTGGGCGACACTGCTCACGGCGTGGGGGGCGACCTGGAGCGCCTGCTGGAGTTGGGGCTGGGGCGGAGTCACCACCCAGGCGGCTCACGCGGCGCCGTTCGCGACCTCCGGCCACTGCCAGGAGGACTCTGAGCGCTGCTCCTGCGACTGGGAGCTGCGCGAGATCATCGACCTCCAGCAGGAGGTCGGCCTCCTCCAGTCGGAGGTGTGGGCGCTGCGGTGCCTGCTGCTGGCCGGGCTTCTGCTGCTCGGCGCTGTGGCCTCTGGTGCTGGCACGCTGGGCTTCCTGGTGGGGGCCTGCCGGCGCTGTCGCTGCGGCGGGCGCGAGCGCGCGCCGGGCCGGGCGGCCGAGCCCGGCGCCCAACCGGCCGCGGCCTCGAGGGCGGCGGCGGTAGAGGGGCTGGCGTGCCCTCAGCCGGGCCGAGGGCCCTCGACGCCGAGCCGCCGGCAGCTGTAGCCCGATGGCAGACGTGCTGACGCTGGACATCGGCGACCCGCAGATCCTGGTCCACTACCCGGACGACGAGAACGGCTTCCTCTGGCACCACAGAGTGTTGCTCTTCAGGGTGTCGGACGACATCTGGATCAGCTTGACCCCTGATCTCGCCCTGGTGCGCTTGAAGCTGCTGGACATCCGGCACGAGGTGCTGGAGAGGCGAGCCCCGTTCCCTGCCCACCTGGGCAACCAGGTCTATGCCCACGACCCCATCGCCGCCGCCGCCCTGGCGGGCTTCCGTCGCCGTGCGAAGATCCAGGGGCAGCTGCTGGGTGTGGGCCAGGTGGACGTGGTCGAGAGGATGATCTGGGTGGTGGCCGAGCCCCGGTCGGCGAAGTTCGGCGAGATGATCGACTCGGCCATCATGGACGACGACGCCCGCGGCACGGGCTTCGACGCGAAGGGGGCGGCGGTCGTGGACGGAGAGGAGATTTTCGTGCAGAAGATCGCGGCCAGCAAGCTCGACGACTTCAAGAAGGAGACCAAGGCGGACCTCGGAGACGTGCGCGCGCTCGGGGACCACCTCGACGATGCTGGGCAGCGCTGTCTGAGGCTCTCGGAGGCGGTCGCGCTGATGAGAGACACGGATCAGCCGAACTTCCCGCTCGCCGGCGTGAGGAGCGTGAAGGAGTTCCTCGAGTCGGTGGCCTCCGGGCCTGGCAACATGACGTCGTACCAGGCGGAGCGGGAGCGGCTCAGCGGAGTCGGTGAGGGATCGGCAGTCAACCATGTGCACCGCAACTTGTGCGAGGTGATTCGGCTCATGCACTCCTGGGACCAGGTCGACGCCTCCATGTTGGCCTCTGCGGAGCTGATCGTGCGCTGGCTGGTTCAAACGGAGATAGCGGTAGAGCGCAACCCGCGCCACCCTGACTACAGCGGGCTGGACATAGTGATCTCGGCCCCGGTGAATGCAGCGGGCCGCGCGACGACGAACAAGTTCAACTCCTGGGTCACTGACAAGCTCAAGGAGAGGGCGCAGATCTGGAAGCAGGAGCGCCTGTACCGCGAGGAGCAGAAGACGAACCTGAAGGAGGGCAAGGACGGCGACGGCTACGACCCGTCCAAGAAGAAGCTGAAGAAGAGAGGGGGCAAGGCCGGCGCCGAGGGCGCCGGCGAGGGAGGACGACGCCTCTCGGGGCTGTGGGGGAGCCGGCGCTGGCAGCCCGGGCGCCGAGAGAGCCCCCCCACAGCCGACGCAGACGTGGGCTAGCCCCCTCTATTCCTGGAGGGATCCGGTCACGAGATCGACGGCATGGAGACCCCTTTCCTCTGCCCTGCGATCCGAGTGGCCTCGGCTCTGCATGCAGCTCTGCGCGGCAACGGCAAGTTTTTGACACGGTTCAGGCCCTGAACCAGCTTGCCGCCGCCAACGTGAATTCACGTCGCGCCCAGGGGCACGACCGCGCACCAGAAGGGCACCTCCGGCCGACCGCCGTGCAGCAGTGGATGATCCAGAATGTCGCCCGGCGTGTACTGGCGCATGGGGATTGCCCCACTGACCTCACAGAGGAGTCATCGTTGCACGAGATCCTCGACTCGAGAGACCACTACGGGATGGAGCCCAAGAACTTGGCCAGCTTCGACTTCGACAAGGTCAAGATCCTGCACAGGAAGGTCCACGTTCGGCCGATGCGCCGGGAGTTGCCCGCGTCGGCCGCTGGCTACCTGCGGCACGCTTCCGACTTGATCGAGATGGACGAAGCGGAGCTTGAGAGAGATCGTGCCGAGGGAGTGTGTGTCACGCCATACTGGGACCCCCTCCTCCGGCGCTCGCGAGACCTTCGGAAGCGACTGTACCAGCGCCTGGACCAGCAGGGCCTGCTGACTTGGCGTCGGCGGCTGAAGGGGCATGCGGGCATCTTCGTGGTCAAGAAAAAGGATGGGCTCCAGAGGTTGATCATCGACGCCCGAGCGGCCAATCGGGCGCATCGGCCACCTCCCACTACTCGGCTAGGCTCCTCGCGATGCATGGCCGACCTCGACCTCTCCGACCCCCGCCTGAAGGCATCGGGCTTCGGGGGCCTCGGCTCCGGGGCCTTCAGCCCAGCTGGCCGCGAGGGAGACGTCGGGGACTGTTTCTACAACTTCACCATCCCCGAGCTGGCGAGCTGGTTCGGCTTCGCAGACCAGTTCGGCACCCACGAGCTGACGGAGATGGGCTGCCTGCCGGACTCGATCTGGGACGACGCCGAGGGGGCCGAGACCAAGGTCGTGGACGGCGAGCAGCTCTACCCCTGCATGTGCGCGGTGTGCATGGGCTGGTCCTGGGCGCTCTACTTCGCCAACGAGGCCGTGACCTACCGCGTCCAGCGGGCGCTGCCCGACGGGGCCGAGAAGGTGATGAGGGAGATGCAGCCTGCCCCGACCATCGAGCCCGGCAAGTGCGTTGCCGGAGTGTACGTGGACAACGTGCAGGTGATCGGAGGCCGCGAGGCTGACGCCAACACTCAGATGAATGAAATCGAGAATCTTTTTCGAGAGGACCGTATACCTTTCGACGTGGAGCCGGGGGACAGCTTGGAGATGCAGCCCCTCGGCCTGGTGTACCACTGGCAGGAGCGTCGCCTGAGGCATGTGGCTCGGCGCGTCTGGCGGACGTACATGGCCGGACACGCCCTTTTGAGACGCCGCAAGCTCCACGGGCACGCGCTCCAGCGCTGGCTGGGGCACGTCGTGAACCTGAACCAGCTCTGCCCCGAGGCGATGTCCGCGCTGAACGCCTGCTACCGCTTCATCGAGGAGTCGCTGGAGTCGCCCAAGCGGGTCTGGCCCTCCGTGAAGTCCGAGACCCGTTGCTCGATGAACTTGCTCTTCCTGATGGAGGCGGACTTGGGCGCGACCTACTCGGACCAGGTGTACTGCGGGGACTCGTCCGGCCGCGGCTACGCACTCCACGTGACGACCGCCGAGCCGACCGAGCTCCGAGAAGCCTGGAGGTGGAGAGAACGCTGGCGGTACCGCGACGTCCCGACGGTGACGGGCCACGTCAGCAGCGGGCTCGACTACGTGCGCGGCGGCACGCCCGGCACCGCCACTGGCCCGAGGACCGCCTTCGGCCAGTCCCTGCTGAGTCAGGCGGAGGCGCCGGAGGATGCGAGCGGCCTGGCTCCCTCTCCGGCCCGAGGCCGCGCTGCGAAGCCGGCTCGAGGCCGCACCCGGCTGCATCTTGACTCGGGCATCCCCGCCTTGGAGGACAGCTGGGTGGCCAGGCGCCGCTACAAGCTGGTCGCCGCGGACCGCTGGCGCTGGCAGGACGAGCACATCAACCTCAAGGAGGCGAGGGTCGCCTTCATGGGCACAAAGCTGCTCTCGATCAGCGACAGCCAGGTCACCGTCGGGGCCTTCGAGAAGGGCCGCTCCAGCGCGGGCCTGCAGGCCCTCTGCAGGCGCGCAGCCGCCGACCGCCTGGGCGGGCAGATCTCCTGGCGGCTCAGGTACATCGAGACTGACCGTAACCCGAGCGACGAGGACTCCCGGCGCTGGGACCTGAAGAAGCCGGCTGGGCTGAACCGGGGGCCCGAGCGTCGAGACGCCGCCCCGAGCCTGTCCGCTCCAGCTGCGAGTTACACGACCTCCTCCTCTTCTCGGTCACCTCCGTCGGCATCCTCAGCATCTGTTGTACGCCCGTCAATTCAGAGCGAGCCTGGTAAATCAGTTTTTTGTATGGAGCTCTTCGGTGGAAAGGGGGAGCTGACTCGAGCTTGCCTGGCGGAGGGGCTTCCCTTCGCGGATTCAGTTGATATCAGAGACGGCTGGGAATTTGATCTTTCTCGTCGCAGTACACAAGAGTATATCCTGAGGCTGGCCCGAGAAGGGCGTTTGATATATGTGCACCTGGGAACGCCTTGTCAGGTTTGGAGTATCGCTCGGAGGGGGATCCGAAACCATGTTCGAGCCAGGGCCCGGGAACGTCTGGGCATCGAGTTCGCACTGTTTACGGCTACGTTGTGTCATATCCTATCACGTCGTGGGTGTTATTGGAGTGTGGAAAACCCCCGGACTTCGAGACTCTGGAACTTCGACCCGATCGCTCGCCTTCATGGACTCGCGGACGTCGTCGAGGTAAACTTCGATATGAGCATGTATGGCACGGCCTATCGGGAACCTACTCGAATCCTGACAAACCTGAGAGCGTTACAGTCCCTGGGAGATCGACCTCGCATTCGACATAAACACTCGGTCTTGCTACACGGTCATCTCACACCACTTGCCGCCGCCTACCCGCCAGCATTGGGCTCGTGTTGGGCCAGGCTCCTTTCTTCGGCCCTGCCGGGCGACATACGCCCGGGCCAGCGAGCCTTCGACCCCAGCGAGGTCCGCCATGGCCTCCAGCGGGCCGCGGGCCGTCGCCCGGCGGCTCGAGGAGCAGCGGTTCACGGTGAGGTCGATGAACCCCGTGAGCCAGCCTGCCAGGCCGCCGACTCGTTCCTCGAGCACGACCCGATCATCCAGTTCGGCCAGGACGAGCGGCCCCGGCGCTGGAGGGCCCACCCGGACTGGGCGGCAGCCGCCACCGGGGAAGGGCCGACCGCGGCAGCCTACAGGCCCCCGGCGGGCAGGCCCCATCACCGCCCCGCGGAAGGACTCGCTGATCATGGCGACGGTGACCGGAGGCACGCTGGAGAGGTACGCGACGGCGGTCCACGAGTTCGAGACCTACGCGAAGGAGAGGCGCCTGCCGCTGCAGCCGCTAGCACGCCTGGACGACAGCCTCTCCCTCTACTTCGTGGACCTGTTCGACGACGGCTTCGGGGTCTGGGAGGGGCGCAACGCCTTCTACGGGCACAAGCTGCTGAAGCTCAGGACGACGGGCAAGGTCGACCTCCCAAAGGCGCTGGCCTCCCTGAAGGGTTGGACGAAGCGGGCGCCCGGGAGGATGCGTCTGCCGCTGCCCGACATCATCGTGGACGACATCGCGCTGGACCTGGTGGAGCACGGGGACCCCCTGATGGGGGCCGCGGTGGTGATCCAGACAGACACCTACACGCGGCCCTCCGAGGTGGTGGGGCTGAGGCAGGGCCAGATCTTGCCGCCGGCGCCGGTCGCGAAGCTCGGCGCGCACTATGGCATCGTCATCGCGCCCTCGGAGTGGCACGAGACCACGAAGACGGGCGGCCAGGGCGACAGCCTGCTCGTGGGCGACGTGGCGAGGCCCTGGCTCACGAGCGTGCTGCGGCTGCTCCACAAGCCCGACGTGTCGGACAAGAAGAAGATCTTCGACTTCACCCTCGGCGACTACGAGCGCAAGGTGAAGAAGTCGGCATGCCGCCTGGGCTACACCTCCCTGGGCGTTTGCCCGCGCGTCTTCCGGCACTCGGGCGCCAGCAACGACAAGGCGCACTCCCGGAGGACGTTGAAAGAGGTTCAGAAGCGCGGACGATGGGCATCGTCCGCGTCGGTGGCTCGCTACGAGAAGGGGGCCCTGATCTTGCAGCAGTTGCGCAAGGTTCCCTTGGCCAAGCAGAGGAAGGCGGCGGAGCGCAGCAAGCGCCTGCCGCAGGTCCTCCTTCAAAAGATTCGTGAAATGTAGCGGCCACCAGTTCATGATATGGGTATGGGCGAAAGAGGGGCCGTCCAAGATGACAGCCCGACGATGTTCGACAAATTATCTCGTCTCAGGCCTGAGCTTCGATTGGATTACCTTGTCAGAGAGTGCGTGTGAAAGGTGATCCAAACTATATCGCACAGCTTCGCTGGATATGCATGTCTGGGCGAGGTTTTTAGGCCATCTAGGGGTGTGTACAGTCGTAGACGTGAATGCCCCAACAGGCCCCTCCTCGCCCGTGCTTGTAAATGCTGACCCCCCGCAACTGCGGTGGCTCAAAGTCTGCCCGCCCTCAGCCACCCTCGAGCTCAGCATGCCTCGCTCGTAATTCAATGCTTTTTCCGCTGGGCGAAAGAGGGGCCGTCCAAGATGACAGCCCGACGATGTTCGACAAATTATCTCGTCTCAGGCCTGAGCTTCGATTGGATTACCTTGTCAGAGAGTGCGTGTGAAAGGTGATCCAAACTATATCGCACAGCTTCGCTGGATATGCATGTCTGGGCGAGGTTTTTAGGCCATCTAGTGGTGTATATATATATATATATATACAGGGGGGGGGGAGAATTTGGGGGTTTGTGTGTATTTATTTGTGTGTCCGAGGGCCCCTTTTTTATCATGGGCTTACCACAACATGTTCTAAAAACCTTTTTTAAGGTCGGCATGACATATTCTTAGAACATATTTCGCCGACGCTGCTTTGCTTTCACACGTCGGGCTTATGTTATACGAACATAGTTGTTGTTGGAACCTTTCTGGGGTTCTAAGAGCATGTCGTGGTGGGCCTATGGGAATGCCAGGGCGGTCGGCCCCTGCTCAAAAGAGGGGCAAAAAGCTAGACCCAGCCAGCCCACGCAGCACAGCCGGGCGCAGCGAGGCCCCCCCGCCAAGGGGCCAGCGAGGCGCCTCGCGGCAGGCACAGCTCTGGAGGGGAAGAACACACACAGATACAATGAATCGTCGCTCCCCAGGAATATATACGAAAATGTAGGCAGTGGGGGGGGAAGACGAAAATCCAGGAAGTACGAGGACATATCGGGAATATTGGTATTTGCGTGCATTTGTTTGTGTGTCCCCGGGCCCCGTCAACAGCAGGGCGGGGCGGAAAAGGGCGCCCTCACGGCCGGCGCAAGCGACACAGCAGGGAGGGCGCGGAGCCGCCGCGTCGCGAAACCAGCGTTAAGTCGGGCCTGTCCCTCTACAGGAGGAATATATATATATATATACACACACATACATACATACATATATATATATATATATATGTGAATTCTAAAGTAGTCCAAACATAGTCCGAGGCCGAGTTGGGGCTTATTGTATTGCTATCTAGGATTATGCTTTGACGATTTGTCACTGTTCCTCTCTTCCAGACTTCGCGTTTAGGAGGGCACTCCCGACCTGAAGCCAGCGGGCGCGGAGACCGGCGGAGGGGCGGCGGCAAGAGCGGGAGCCCCCTTTGGAGCGCCAGCCGGAGGTTCCGAGAGGCCCATACGGCGGAAGGAGGGCGGCACAGGGACGGGCCAGCCGGAGAGGGGCGGAGGCACCGCCAAGGGCCCTCTGTCGAGCAGTGGCGAAGCGTCTTGGCTCGCCAACATCAGCCGATCGCAAATCTTTTCCCGTCAGCGGCGAGGCGGCGAACTCCGTTCCAGCGAGAAGCTAGAAAGGGGCACTAACTAGCGAATTGGCCGGCGGGCAAAAACGGGGGGGGGGACGGCCGAAAAGAGGAAGGGACGCTCAGACGTCGAAGACTTCGACGATGAACAGCCGGGGGGGCAGCAGCAACCAGGCGCGCAGGGCCAGAGCGCGGTGGGCGGCCGTGGCAAACCACGATCCCAACATTCGAAGAAGAAAAACGAAAACGACATAAACATCAGTTGTTGGCGCTCCGCGCGGGTTTCTTGGATCCGCGCTGGACCTCCCGGCGGCGCCTCCGGCGGTGCCCTTGTCGCGCTCCGCGCGCCCGGGAGGGGTTCCACGCGGAGCGCCAAAAGTTTATGTGTATGTTTTTGTTGTGCAAAACGTGGGTCAAGGTGGTGTGGATTAGCGACGGGTCCCGTTTCTTAAGGGGAAATCGCGTGTTTCCGCTGCCGAGCGAGGCGGCAACGGCCGCACGTTTGGGAGGGCACCTCCCCCGATCCATGGATTCGGCGACCGCGCGCCAAATCTATGGATCGTTAATCCATATTTGCGCGCCCCCGAACCACCCTCAGCCAAGCGCTCATCCCGACGCTCAGCCATACCCAACCAAGCGCCACGCCCACGGCGACGACCAGTCCGCCCAGGACTGTTCGGCTGGGAATCCCCACGTTGTGGCCCGAGGCACCAGGGACCTGGCACCGGCGATCGAGGCTTACGAACGAAAGGCCATGCATTCAGGGTGGGAGTGCCTCACGGTTTGCATTATCAACCTGAGGCACCAAGGCAGGCGAGATTGCCAGCTCGATGCCAATCCCGACGGTAAGCCCGAATGCCAACCCCAATGTACACGGCAACATGCGCTCTACCCAACAGGGAATCAAGTTTTGTCGAGTTCAGGATGTATTTGTCCATTCGGGATACACGCAAGGCCAGACGCTCCAGCTGGAAAGTTGCAGACAAGAAGCAAGACATTCAGTTTTTGGAAATGCCCAGGTCCCCACCCACCCTCTTCCCCCTCCCTTCCATTCCATACCGTGAAGTATGATGGTTCCCCACGCGCGGTCACTTGCAGCCCAGGCTAAGCCGCAGGTCCGTGTTACCAACCGAGGGTACGTCGTGTACTTCCCGGCGTTATTGCATGATCGCGTGTGGGTGCCATCGCGCGTGCGTGTGTATGCCCAGTCTTCCATTGTTTGTTTGTTTGTCTTCCCCCCTTTCGTTCTCCCCCTCCCTCTTCAATCCGTGCCGTTGCATCGGAAGGGAGCCCCGGCCACGCAGCGAAGCCGCCGCACCCAGTGTATCGAATTGGACACCGTACTGCCACACGTACGGGACCATCCGTGGGGAGGAGTTCCGCCCTCGCATGCTGCCATCCCTCCGCCCTCCCTTTTTCTCTATTCTCCCCTTCCCTGGCCCGGGCCGGACGAAAAGGGGGGGATTAGGAAAGGGGGGGTTACGAAATCTGCTGCATGCAGCTGGTTTCGGCCCAACCGAGGGGCCCATTCCTCGATACATAGCCGCCTCTGGCGCCAGGAAGCGCAGGGAAAATCAGCTACGCAAGCTGATTCTCCAACCCCCCCTGTGCAATCCCCCCCTTTCGCCCGGCCCGACTGGCCCTCCTTCATCACCCGCTTCATCCTCTATCTTATGTTTCCTTATGCCCCTTCCCATAATTCATCATCACCCTCTTCGTATGCGTCGCAGCTTCCTCATCACCACCATGTGGCCATGGGAATATTCCCCCTGCCCATCGTGTTTGTGATCCGTCGAGGGTTCAACTATCTCCTGCTCAACTTTAACCACGAGCGGCTGGTGATCTCCGTGTCCACTTGCCGATTCGCCCGCCTGTGCTACACTGAGGCTCGGTCATTATGTTCGTTCGCTCTGCAGCGTTTACAGTCTGTCGCGACACATCTGAACACACATTCGGTTTATGAAATTTCCTCTCCTCTCCCCTATTCCTCTTTTCCTGCTCGTACGTTTTTCTTTGCCCCACCGACAGGTTGCCACATGTGCTCCCGTGGCTGCCCACGCGTCCATCTGGATGCTTGTGTTTGAACAGGTATTGCGCCATTGCGCCTCAGAATGCGTTGTTGCCCCTCGAACTACCCCAACAACGGCTCCCGCCCGATACTTCTTGTCAGCCTGTTCAGAATCGCGCTCTGGCGCGGGATGTCCTTCCAGTGTATCTTGAAATCGCGATTTCGCGTGTGGCTTCCTCCAAAAGTTCCGTGCGCCGCGCCCACGTCATTCAGGAATCAGGCTCTGGCTGTGCCTTTTCTTACGGTTCACTTGGGCATCGCGCTGATGCTCGAGTCTTCTTCGCGATCCGTGCAGGACTTGCGCTTCAGTGACCCGGCCGCCTGGGCCCGCCCGCCCGGCCCGGCCGCTGGGGTCGGCCCGCCCGATCTGCCCGTGTGGCTCGTCCGTGTGTTTGTTTTCTGCTTCTACGGGTGCGAGCCCCGGGAAAGGCACGTCAGCTCAAAAAGCACAAGGTGCACCGGACGGGTGGATCAACAATATCTATCGGGCGGGAAGTATCTGGCGGGAGCCGTTGTTGGGGTAGTTGGAGGGTCAACAACGCATTCTGAGGCGCACTGGCGCAATGCTTTCTCCTGTGAGTACAGGGTGCGAGCCCTGGGAAAGGCACGTCAACTGAAAAAGCACAAGGTGCACCGGAAGGGGGGATCAGCAATACTTATTCTTCGGGTGTTGCTAGAAGTGCCCCTGGCCCAAGGTACCCCCAGGATTCTCGGGGTGGCCCAGGCGGCCTCCAGAGCACCCCTCACGAGGCCCAGAGGGCTGGCTGCAGGGGCTCCAACATTGAGCGAAAAGCAAGGGGCACCTTGGGCCAGGGGCACTTCTAGCAACACCCGAATTCTTTCGAAACGGAAATTCAGCAAAGACAAGCATCCGGATGGACGGGTGGGCAGCCACGAGAGCGCATGTGGCAATTTGACGACGGGGCAGGGAAAAACGCATGAGCAGGAAGAGGAATAGGGAGGACCAGAGGAAGTGTCATACTCCGAATGTGTGTTCAGATGTGTTGCGACAGATTGTAAACTCCCCTCTCTTGCGAAATTCTCTCGTGCGCCATTCTTCTTTCTCCCCCTTGCCCCTTCCATCCTATCTCTGCTCCCCTGTTTCAAGGACAACGCCAACAACACTTGGCAGGTAAGGAAGGTGGGCACCCAATGGGGGGTATGATCGAAGACGAAGAAGGCATGTATTGGTGTCTTGAGATTTGCGTATTGAATGGCACGCAAATCAGATAAGAGCGAACAGTCTTAAATTGATCGTTTTTGTTGTCACTGCAGTGTCTGCGGCCATTGCTTGGACAAAGCTGAGTTATGAGGGCCTCGTCATTCCATTCACACTCGTTTGTGATAGCTAGTTTCAGGGAGCGTACATTAGACTGATCCCCAGGATGGAATGCTTACTTGGTTGATCCATTTATATAGGATACATCGAGCTTCGTGCTGCGGACAGGGCTAGCAATGGCGGCAGAAGATTGACGACTACAATGATTGAGCAGGGCAGAAGATTGACGACTGCAATGATTGGGCACCGTGGAGCTGACTACCAGCAGTTCACAGAGTCGAGGCGAGGCTGTGGATATTGTTTTTCTCAGGGTGACTTGGTCAGAGCAGGGGGCCGAACGGTCGTGCATGGTCCCTGGGCTCGTGGCTGAATTGAGATTTTGCGGTGCGGATTGTTGTTGTAATTGTTGTTGCGTTGTTGTTGTTGGTGGTGGTGGTGTTGTTCTTGCTGTTGCTGTTGCTGTTGCTGTTGTTGGTGTTGGTGTTGTGGTTGTGGTTGTGATTGTGGTTGTGGCGTGGTTGTGATTGTGGTTGTGCTGTTGTGGTTGGGGGGGTTGTTGCTGTTGAGTCCTCACTACTGAAGAAAACTCATTGTTGATCCCCCCTCCGGTGACCATTGTGTTTTTTCAATTGAGGTGTTTCCCTGGGGCTCGCACCTTGATTTTTCGTCAGGGAAAGTCAAGGGGCTCAAACTGGGCCACGGTTTCCGCCAGACACCTCCTCACAATTTATTCCCGAATCGCGTTCTCGCGCGGGACGTCCTCACACTCCATGTACGCATCGCGCTCTCGCGTGGGACTCCCTCGCCGTTCGTTCGGACGATGCGCCCTCGGCGCTCAGGGATCACGCTCTCGCTCTGGCTTTTCTCCGTGTCCCACTCTGCTACTTTTTCCAAGCTCGGCGGTCGCCGCAGTGCAATAGAGAGCGTGGCAGAACTACTACCACTAGCTCTTGCAGCCTTTTCCCCAAATCAGTGTATGATTATGTATTGATCGACTGTTTCGGATCGTACGTTAGGCTGCAGGCGCCGCCCTGGGGGCCTGTGAGCGGCCTCTCTGCTGCTGCTCACTGGTGGAGCAGCTTGAGTGAAATGGCAGCGGAGACGATGAGACGATAGGGTGACAGCCTAAAGCGAAATTTTGCCGTAACGGCGGTGCCGGCCGACGGGGCGAAAGCACAGAAGCGCGATTATCTGCACGCGGCCTCGGCGCAAAAGCAAAACCCCAAATCTGTCGTAACGGCGGCGCCGGCGTCTGTGCATGCCAGAGGTTATAGGCATGCCTGCACGAAGATTAAATTAGATGTTCCCACCTACCTACCCCAAACGAGACCAGCCATGATCTTAGAAAATCTGCTGCCACTGCCTGATCAGTTGCGCCAGGTTCGGCCGTGAGCTTTTCCACGACACTTTGAACTCAAGGCGTTTCTGGAAAATGCTCCTGTCGTTGCATCCCCAGCGGTCCCAAACCTCATGCATACGGTCAGCAGTTCTAGCTCGGGACAGTAAGGGGTGGAAAGGGAGAACAAGCCACACTTTGCTACCGCGATCCTCGGGCTCACGTTTTCGGGAGCGGGGCAAAATGCTATACAGAGGGGGCGCAGGCTCGGGGATACCGAACTCACGGAGAATACACGTCTTATGGTGTACAGCTTCACGGAAGCTACGTGCAGTACTGGATCTTCTTCGCAGCCGGTCCAGCTCGGCTCCAGGCCACGCTGCGTGCACGGCCTTGCTGTGGCTCGAGCTTGATGCCAATGGTGCTTTAATTTCGCCTGGCTTGAAATATGGTGTCCAAGATATTCTGCCGCACGGCTCTTGGTGCAGCATCACATCCAAGTACGGTATTTGGTCGTATGCCATTTCGCTCATTTCACTTTGTACGTGCATGCACATTTACGGCGGATGAAGGCCATTACCATGACCCAGCAATATCTGTTTTTGCAGAGGAACAAAATGTCGTCGCGGTAGCGGCCGTAGAAAATTATACCAAATTTTGCCTTTCGCTGCAACAGATCCACTTCCACGAGCTCTGCACAGTTTACGTCGGCAATGTCGCCAGAACACGGGAGGCCCATGCCAGCGCCCGCACATACGCGCCAGTATCGATCATGCCAAAGTTTGTTCCCGACGTACTGGTTAGTCAACATGCCGTACAATATAATTTCATTGATGTTTCGTGGGTGCCAAATTTTCTCGCACACACGTTTGCACATTTGTTCGTGCTCTCCGTTCAGATAAAAATCCTTCATGTCGCAGCTGGCCAACATGCTTTTCCCATCGGTTCGAATCTGTGATAGGGCTTTGAGTATTCCGTCAGTAGAGTCATAGATATGGACGTATTCGGTACGAATGAAATTCCTGAGGTAACCGCTATCCCATCGAGCTATGTTGGAAAACGCGTGGCCGCTGCACGAATGTATAATCCTCAACCCATTTTGCCCTGGTTCCTTGTGGGTTTTGATCGTAAATTGAATTCTACTGATGACGTTGCGTGCGCTTCCTGCACGCTTCCAAAGTTCGACCGAAAGTTTCTTGTCGAAGCCTTCGCCCACGTGTCGAATCATTGATCTGTGCACATCGTGCACCCCTTGCTCATTGACCCAACTGACTTCCGAATAGCATTGTTTAGCCATCGCTTCGTCTACCAGTACACGGAGCGAGCTTTCGGGGACAAGGCAAAATCCTCCATGCTTGTTCGTTGGTACTATCGCATACCTCGTCGTTTTGATCCAACGTATGGCCGCATGGACCCAAGGATACACGTTTGAAAACGATCTGCTTGTCCCCCTACAACTCTTGATAGCTCCGCTGCACAAGTCTGCGACTTGAAACTTCATGGCGTTCAAACTAGATGCAACCTGGTGTGGGAGTTTGCCACCAGCCCTCGGTGGCTCAGCCTCAGTATAAGGAGTAACCTTATTCTTACCCAAATGCTTTCTCCACCACCTCGCAGGTTCAGAGTCCCTCTGGAACTTCCAACGCCATTTGACTGTATGTACAAAGCCTTGCACAGCACAAGAGACGGGTTCTTGATTAGGTTCGCTTCCACCACAGAAGATATGCTTCCTTGAGAAGCAAGTGAGACACAGCACGATCGGCCAAGGGATTTGCGCGGCCCGCGCCGTTACGACGGAACGGCTGTCCAAATCGAACAAGTATAATTGGCCCAACAGTTTATCGTAATCCCAAAGTTTGTTGAGAATCCAAGCATCACTGTTTCCAAGCATATTCCAAGACTTCTTGTTGTTGCGTTGTTGTTGTTGGTGGTGGTGTTGTTGTTCTTGTTGTTGCTGTTGTTGTTGCTGTTGTTGGTGTTGGTGTTGTGGTTGTGGTTGTGATTGTGGTTGTGGCGTGGTTGTGGTTGTGGTTGTGTTGTTGTGGTTGGGGGGGGTTGTTGCTGTTGAGTCCTCACTACTGAAGAAAAATCATTGTTGATCCCCCCTCCGGTGACCATTGTGTTTTTTCAATTGAGGTGCTTCCCTGGGGCTCGCACCTTGATTTTTCGTCAGGGAAAGTCAAGGGGCTCAAACTGGGCCCCGCCGCCAGTTTACGTGCATCAACAACGGTTTCCGCCGGACACCTCCTCACAATCTATTCCCGACTCGCGCTCTCGCGCGGGAAGTCCTCACAGGCCATGTGCGCATCGCGCTCTCGCGTGGGACTCCCTCGCCGTTCCTTCAGACGATGCGCCCTCGGCGCTCAGGGATCACGCTCTCGCTCTGGCTTTTCTCGCGATTCACTTGGGCATCGCGCACCTCCTCGCGATCCGTGCAGGACGCGCGCCTCGGCAGCCCGCCTGCTCGACCTGGCCGCACTGGGGGCCCGCCTCGCCGGCCCTGCCCGCCGTGGGTCTGCCCACAACCGATCTGCCCGCCGGGTTCTACCACGAAGCCGGGCCCGTCCCTCCTACGGGAGGAATGCAGTCGGGGCCCTGAAGAAGGAACCCTTCTCGTTGGGGAGGGGCTCCGCGTTCCTCAAGTGTTTCGCAGCTTGCCTCAGGCTTTCCTTCTGCTTTCGATCAGAAATCGAAGTTCAACTTATGGGAAAATGGGGCCTCGTTCCTTATTTAGGGTTCCTTAGGTCAACGCCCCGACTGTAAAGTCAAAAACCCGAACAAGGACGCGCGACTTTGCTTAGGGTACCCTTGCGTCCTTGCTCTTCCTTGCTCTTGCGGCTCGTCCTTGGCCTCTCTCGCTTGCCCGTTTGTCAGGGTACCCTTGGGGTTTTCGTCGTCCGCCGCCCCAGAAATCCCAACTTCGGCTTCCAAGGGTCTTGCGTCCTTACCGCGCGTCTTTATCAGGGTTTTTGACTGTATTCAAAAATAGCCAAACAATCGTCAGGGGACGATGTTTTGCATTTTTTTCAGCATTTGGGCGTACTTTTTGAGTAGTTTGGGTTTTCCGCTCCTAGTCCGCCTGTAGGGGGACAGGCCCGACCTGATTCTACCACTTGTGTTCTGCTCCTTGCCCCCCTCCCTGCCAGTGTCTCTCGTGCTCCATTCTTCTCCCTCCCTCTTCCACCCGCCTTCTCTTCCCTTGTTTCAGGGGTTGCGCTACATGCACGTGGCAGGGAAGGAAGATATACCCCCAAGGGAGTACGATCGAAGACGACGAGGGCGGGTACCGAGGGTTTCGGATATACGTATTGTTTGGCACGTGAGCGGATAGGAGCGAACAGTTGTAACATGATTGTTGTTGTTGTTGTTGTTGATGTTGTTGTTGCTCTTGTTGTTGCGGTGTCGTCCTCGCCGCCTCGCCCGCGACCCACCCCGCGACCCAACCCTTGACCCACCGGACGACCTACCTGAGACCCACCCCGCGACCCAACCCGAGACCCATTTGGCGACCCACCCGCGACCCACCCACATCATTTCAATGACAAAATCAACGCTTGCGAGGGACTCGTTGTAGAATTTGTAAAATTCAGCGTCGGCGGGCTTCTTCATAGCCTCGTAGATTGCCGAACACCCCGCCGCCTCCTCACTCTTGTCCAGAACTGCTGGGTGCTTCGCATCGTAGCTATTTTCGCATGTCTATATATAATATGTGTAGAAATAAGTATAGAGATAACTGTATATATATGTATGTATATATATATATATATATATACGTAGGTATATCCCCCTCGAAGCTAGTAGCAAAAGCTCATCTCAACTAGAAGAGATCAGGAAAGGCACGGCCGTGGGCCAGCCTCAGGAACGGAGCGTGAACGGTAGGCGAAAAGAAAGGGGTAGGCGAGATGGGAAGATCTGGGAAGTGGGGGGGGGGGGGGGGGGAAACAGATATCCAGAAAATAAGGAGAACAAATGGGAATTATGTTATTTGTGTCTGTGTACTTATGTGTCCTAGGGCCCCTTCAGGCACAATTGATGTTCAGGAAGAAAAAGCACAGGCACAATGAATCGCCGATTCTCCAGAAAAGATGGGCAGATATGGGATGTGTGGGGGAAGACAGAAACGCTGAAAATATAGGAGGAAAACATGGGGGAATATGTTATGTGTGTCTATGTATGTGTGTGTCCCAGGGCCCCCGTCCAGAAACCCAGAAAATAAGGGAAGACAGAAACCCAGGGGGGAAAACAGAAACCCAGAAAATAAGGGACAAACATTGGAATTATGTTATTAGTGTCTATGCACTTCTGTGTCCCAGGGCCCCCGTCAGTTTTGCGCCCTCACCGCCCGCCAGTACACGTGTTCACTGCATTCGCGCCTCGCGGTTCGGCTCCGCTTCCTCCCCATCTCTTTGTTCTCCCTTGGGAGGCGGCGCGGGAGCGCGAAGTGATTCGTGTTTCGCGCAGCGCGGGCGCGGGCCGCTGGCGTGCGCAGTTCGGGGGGTGCTACAGTGTCAGGAGCGAAAAAAGGACGTGCACGTGCATGAATCCGCGCTGGTCTCGAGGGTGCGCACAGCGCAAGTGTTCGTATCACGCGGCCAGTCTGTACATAGCTTGGCGCGCGTTCATGTACATAGCTGGGCGCGTACGTCCTTTGTGGGTTCCCTATACAGGTCTTGGCCCAAGGTCGGGTATTGCCAGGAACCCGGCTAAGGGGCGCCGTTTAGAGACAGGGCCCCGAGGTCCAAACTATGGACTGGAGTCACTAGACCAGGTCTACAGTCCGGCAGTTCCACTTCGTGGGATTGGGCGGGGGGGCGTCCCGCGGTGCACATCACTCAACCAGGCCCCACGAAGCCTTGCCCTGCCAACGCCCGACAAGGTGCCCCCCAGCTTTGCGCACCGTTTTGGAGCCCCTGGGGCCCTCTGGGCCTCGTGAGGGATGCTCCTCGGGGTCTCCCTGGATTTCCTTGGGGGCACCTTACAGGCCAGGGGCACCTCCTGGCCACACCCGAGCAGTGGGCGCGGGGGCAGGCCGGTCTTGCTCGCGCCGCCCTCTCGCTCGTCTCCCTTCTCGTCCCCTTCCCTCTCCGATCACCCCTTTCTCGAGCAGTGGCGAAGCGTCCTGGCGTGCCAAGCAATGTTCTCAGAACCCTTTCTGTGGTTTCCACGAAATGTTCTGAGAACATTTCTGGCTGAGACTGTCTTGTTTGAACGCATCGGGCGTATGTTCTAAGAACATTGCTTTTGTTATTAGAACAGCTTGGGGTTCTGAGAAAATTTCGTAGTAGGTTTATAGGAAGGCCGGGACGGTCGGTCCTTGCTCAATTTTCTCCGTGGTGCAGCACTGTGCCGTGGAGGGTGGAAGAGCACAGAAGCAGCAGAAAAATCCTCCCAGTGGGTGCGGGAAGCGGGCGGGCATCCCCCCGGCTTCCCGAGAGGCGCTGCGGTACTCGATGCGGCGGAAGACGTTCGGAAAGCCGCTCTCCGAGCACCAAATGATCCGATGGAAGTTGGCCGAGATGTTGCGGCAGGTCGAGGCGCGCTCGCAGGGCACGGTCGGACCGAGGTATAAGATCGAGGTCGCTTCTGGGAGGGTACTCTAATGTGTTTCGTGATTGTTGGATGTTTTTGTGCACCTTTGGGGGGGGGCTCGAATTTTCTTCGGCTTGGCCGGCGGAGGGTCTCGTGTTCTCGGACGGATGTTTTTCTGTCTGTGGTCCGGTTGTGGGAACGAGTGTCGCCGTGAAGGAGGAGCGGGTTTGGCAGGAGGACGAGGAGGAGGAGAAGGGAGGAGGGAGGAGCGTGTTTTTTTGGAGAGGGGGAGGAGGAAGAGGGAGGAGGAGGAGGGAGGAGGAGGGGAGGAGGAGAAGGAGGAGGAGGAGGAGGCGGAGGAGGAGGAGTACGAGGGGGTCCGGCAGAAAAGAGGCCGCGATGGTTTTTTGACCGTCTCTGGGCTCCCAGGGTCCGCCCCCAGTCCAGGGGCCACGAAATAGCCAGCCCGAGGCGAGAAGTCCGCCTCGGGGAAAGCCGCAAGGTCCAGGACACGTTCTCCCATCATGAGGTCCTCCTCCTCCCTCCACCTCCTCCTCCTCCTCCTCCTCCTCCTCCGCATCCTCCTCCTTTTGCTCCTCCTCTTCCTCCTCCTCCTCCTGCTCCTCCTCCTCCTCCTCCCTTCTCCCTCCTCCCTCCCCTCCTCATCCTCCTCCATCTCCTCCTCCTCCTCCTCCTTCTCCTCTTCCTCCCTCCTCCTCCCTCCTGCTCCTCCTCTCCTCCTCCTCCTCCTCCTCCTCCTCCTCCTCCTCCTCCTCCTCCTCCTCCTCCTCCTCCTCCTCCTCCTCCTCCCTCCTCCTCCTCCCTCCTCCTCCCTCCTCCTCCTCCCTCCTCCTCCTCCTCCTCCTCCCTCCTCCTCCTCCTCCTTCCTCCTCCTCCCTCCTCCCTCCTCCTCCCTCCTCCTCCGTAGCCATTTTGGCTCAAGGCTTTTGGGTGCAGGTATCCAGGATACCTGCGAAGCCTCGCGGGACTCGGCGGCCATACGTGCTCGCCCGCGCCGCCCTTGCTGGTGGCGTGCGGGCCGGCCGTGCTGCTGTGCTGTGGCGTGCGCCGCCCCCAGGGTGGGCGGGCGCACGACGGCGCCGGCGCCCGCAGTGCGCAGGGCGCGGCGCCGGCTGCGCGTGCGCGAGCCCGCCTGGCATAGGCGCGCTCGCGAGCGGCGCACGCAGTCGCGCACCTTGCTGCGCGTCGCCGCGGCAGCGGCGAGGTTGCGCGTGCACCACAGCAGCGGGATCATGTCTGGCCGTGCTGGAGGTTATGGCAGCAAGGGCGGCGGCCAGGGCCGCAAGGGCGGCGGCAAGGGCAGCGCGGGCAGCGGCCACAGCGGGCAGAGTGGCAGCACTCCACCGTGGGCTGTGCCGCCGCCGCCACCAGGATGGTGGTGCCCGACGTGCGGAGGCCTCAATGGCCCGTCGGACCTGCTCTGCCGCACGTGCATGCCCCCGCCCGCCTGCGGGCCGCAGCACGGCGCAGCGGACCGCGGCAGCGAGGCTGGCGATCGACACGGCCAGCCGCGCGACCGCCACCGCCGTGCCTCCGGCTCGCGCCGCCGCAGGCGATCCAGCCAGACCAGGTCGACCTCCCGCGTGCGCTTCGCGGAGGACGAGGACGACGACGGCGAGGCCAATGAGGGCGGCCACTCCTCGGACGGCGGCGACGACGTGCTGCGCAGCCCGGCATTGGGCATTTTGCCCGCCCTGCCAGAGGCTGCCAAGGCTCACCCCGCCTGGGTCGAGCCGCCGAGTGAGGAGCGTGAGCTTGGAGCTCACCGCCGCTCGCTGCGCCAGATGGCCGCCGCCACAGGCAAACGCCTCCAGGCTGCGAAGGACTTAGGCATGTCGGCCGAGCAGATGCGCCCGCAGGAAGAGGAGTATGCCGTGCAGCTCTGTATGATCATTATCGCTCGGCCTTCTGGCGTGAGATGTGACAAGCAACGGTCATATGTCCAGAGAGCGCAGCAGAAGCTGGAGAAAGCTCAGGATGCCGCCGCCGCAGCTCGTGCCGCCCTGGAGGACGCCGACGCCAAGGTCCAGCAGAGGTCGGCCGCCGTGGAGAGGGCCAGGACGCTGCTGGAACAGCTGGAGGCCATGCGCCCGCCTCCTGCTGCTGCTCATGAGGCAGCCGACGGAGACGTACCCATGGGCGGGGTGCCTAGCACACCGCCAGCGATGCCAGGCACCCCGCCCGACACAGCCCCGCCGATCGCCGCGCTCGCGGCGCTGCAGGCTGGGCAGCTGGAGCTGGGACAGGCGCTCGTGGGGCCCACGGGCTTGCTCGCGACGGTCCAGACGGAGTTGGCGGCGATGCGGGCCCAGGGCACTGCGGCATCGCATGCGGCCGCGCCAGAGGTTCGCCCGTTCGCTGGGCCACCGCAGCGCCTTGGGCCGGATGCGACACCCGCTGGAGAGCCTGCAGCGCCTGCGGCTGCGCATACGGCGGCGCCGCCGCCCGCGGCACCTGCAGCAGCCCCTGCTGCCGCCCCTGCGGCGGCCACCGCAGCCGCCCCCCCGGGTGCAGCCGCCGCCGCTGGCCCTGGGCAGGGCCCGCCAGCCGCCGCCGCCGACGGGGTGCATCCCGCGCAGCGCGGGCGCCAGGCCGCAGGCGTGCGCCCGAGGGCGCGCGGGGCAGAGGTCGTGGAGGCGGCGACAGATGCAGCTGATGCCGACGAAGAAGAAGAAGGATGGAAGAAGGTGGATGCAAAGAAGACTCGTGACGCCGAGGCGCGGAGGGCCCGTCGTGATGCCGAGCGCGCACGCCGACCGACTGGTCAACAAGGGCTTCGCGAGGCCATCGCGAGGCAAGAGGGAGTCGAGAGCCATCGTGGACGAGGCGCGATCCCTCCAGCTCCAGCAGGTCGCGCCGAGCTCGCCCACGAAGCTGGAGCTCCTGGTGCCGCCGCCGCTGCAGAACGCCGCCAGCGTCACAGTCGCAGCCACAGCCCTCGGCACACGCGTGCTGGTGGGGCCAAGGGATCAGATTCATCGGACCTGTCGGAGCTGGGGTGATGCGACATGACGGGCAGGCTTCGGGGAGTGAGGTGCTTGAGCCGCCAGTGCTGCCATCATCTCACAGCCTGCCCGCTGCTGGCCAACGGCCAGCCACGTCGCCTCGTCCCCACGCTCGGATGGAGTCCGAGCCTGGGCAGCCCCGATGCCCGATTCCCGACTGCAGTGAGCTTGTCAGGCAACTACGTCAGCCTTGGCAATCTAGTGCTTCTCTCTCCCCCGCCTTTCTCGGGCAGTGCCAGACGGCCGATCACTGTCTATTTCACCCATACCTTCACAGTAGTACGATTTCTTTTTTTGATACCCACGGAGCCTCCCCCCCCTCAGAGGATGAGCAGGTAGGTTGGGTCGAAATCCATACCGATGGGTCTGGAGGGTCTCGCCAACAATCCTTGGGAGAGCCACCGTCTTGGGCATGGTGTGTATTTACAGTTACTACCTCGGGACGATATGTTTGCGAAGGTTACCTGTGTGGGATTGATCCTGATCTATCCAATTCCGTTGCCAGCCCCTCGGGTGCCGCTGAGTTTCAAGCAGGCCTGTGGCTGGTGCTATGGTTATTGCAAGCTGACGTTAGATTTTGCCAGTATCCCATTGTGGTGTACACAGACGACCAGCTTGTGGTGTCGACGGCGGCAGGTGGGACCCAGTATGCGTCATGTGGGGACTTTACGTGGCTTTTCGACGGTGCCTTGAAGTTGCTACGGCAGTATACGACGCTCACTTGGAATCACATCCTGGGACACAACGCCCACCCGTTAAATGAGCTTGCAGATACCATTGCACGGCTTGCCTCTATGGGCCTATTGCCGACTGTAGATGCAGACTTTCAACCGTGGTCAGTATTGCTTGCTGCCGCCGACCATGTACCTTGGTTATGGATTACTGCCAGCGCCAACGTCGGCTCAGGGGTATACCCGAATGTTGGTGCATGTGAAATGCCGCGTCTCGCCCCTCCCCGTCTGGACCTTCAGACTGCTTTCTCGCCGCCTGCTGGACGCAGCCCGATTGACACGAGGGTGCCTCGTGATTCCTGTCCCTCAGGCGTGCTGTCCCTGCCTCAGGTACGATTCGCCGTGGCTAATGTGCTTACGTTACGGCCCCGCAGGAAGGCATCAAAGGGAAAAGGCGACAGCAGGATCAGATGCCGCAGCCAAGACGCGGCCGGACTCAACATGCCTGGCAGAATGCTCGCTCTTGCACATCAGTTCTCGTCTCGCCAGTTGCATCTTGTCGGCACTCTTGAGACACGGCTATGCAGGAATGGTTGGACACCAGCAGGGGATTATGCCGTCATCACTGCCGCTGCCGAGGATCGAGGGAAGTTTGGAGTGGCCTTGTGGGTTAACATGCAGCATGAGTACGATGGTAGACACACTTTGGCGCGCCGTCATGTACGTGTGCTCAGTTTCTCGTCACGCCATCTGCTAGTTGCCATTCGTGCACCTGGTCTCTGCATTGACGTGTTGGTTGGACATGCCCCTCACTCCCGTCGGCCACCAGACGAGATTCGAGGATGGTGGGATCAGGTTGCGTCAGTGCTCTCTGCTCGGGTTCAGCCAGCGCCGTTGCATTGCCTGCTTGATGCGAATGCCACGGTGGGCTCACAAGTATCAGACTCAGTGGGTGATGTGGCGCCCGAGGTTGAAAACTTCAATGGAGTGTGCTTCCATAAGTTTCTTCGGGATACCGAGCAGTGTGCAGTATCTACGTTTTTGCCGTCGTACTCTGGGGTACACGGCACATGGTTACCGCCTGGGGCCCAGGGTCAAGCACCTAGACGTCGCATCGATCACATTACCACCCCCATCGGACAAATCAACAGCGTGGTGCATCAGGGTGTCGATGTCGATCTCGATCTGTCACTACGTCGGGACGATCACTTCGTGGTCACAGCTTACATGCGTATGCGCCATGCCGATCGGTACGAACCTGCCTTGCTATGGCCACGGTCTCGGCACGACACATCGAAGTATGACGAC